CGGAAAGTAATGGTTGCCAATGAGTAGATTTAGACCATCAAAAGTGGGGATTTCAACCCATACACATTCTTCAAAGGATTCTAAATCGTGCCTGCGTTTACAGGCACGTACTCCGGGAGATAAAGCTATTAACACTCCACCTCCACGCGTCTTATTTGTACATATTCTGTCAGAACGGAAAATAGTGTAATCGTCCGGAAATAGATTGTGATCGTAACACGAGTCTTTTAGCCATGTCTCAGTTAAACATAAGATACTATAACCAGAGGACCAGACGCTATCGTAGAATTCGAGTTGCTTGGTTCTGAGACCTCTGACGTTTTGGTAATAAATGTCTAAAGAATTGAAATGCTGTTTTCTAGTAGACATGGAAAAACCACCCGTGTTGACATCACCGGTGCGAGCCATTTAACTGAGTGAAGTAGCCCCATCCCCCAGAGGTTCCTCAGAAATGGCATTTGCACCTAATTGATCTGAAGGTTCGACCCCTAAAGCTAAAACCTCTGCACCAGGGGAGGACGGACGAGATAAAAGAGTCTGGGGGGAATAAATTTGGTCAGGATTAAGACGACCGAAATACGGGGCAATTAAACACCCACTAGGCCAGACACCGATATTGTTTACAAGATGGAAGTCATCCTCCACGACTGAAATGTGGAATGACGCATACGAGTTAAATTTTGTCTTTAACCTGGTGCAGGTAAGCGAGTCTTCTATATCTGCGGAAGTGACGTCCGGGGAGAAACGAGAGACGAACAGCGACTTCATTCTCACCCTTTTTGCTATGACAGCCAGCGAAGAAGAGCTCCTCACTCCAATCATTATGGGCCTCACTTTCTTGGAAGAGTTAGCCGAAGAATTGGCCGACTCAGGAAGTTCAACCCTCCTATTGGTGGGGGCTTCTTTCCCAGACAATGCCTTCTTCTTTTTGCCGACGACTGTCACAAATCCATCACCGGAAGTAACAGGAACAGCAACATCTGCATTCTTCCCGGCATTGGACTTAACAGAAACGGTGCTGATGTCAGTAACACCAGCAGACACAAAATGATGATCAGGCAAACGGGCGGCAGCCACTTCACTGTAGGACTTTGCTGCTGGGGGCAATGACTTAACAGATGTAGGAACTAGGGAGGTTGTACCCCCACAAGTAATTTTGTTAAGATGAAATTTTAGATGGTCATTGTCCTTCCGAAGTTGCTGAACATCTTCAGAAAGCTTTAGGACCATCTGGACCAGATTTTCAACCAAATTATGGGTGCTAACACCATTCAGCCGAACCGTCTCCAGTTGTACACTGAGCGATTCCGGGTCCTTAAATGCTGGCAAAATGAGCTCCCTGTCGGGAGATACAATCTTCAAAGGAAAATCCGATGTGGAGGCCGATCTGGTTGCACGAACAGGAGTGTTATCATCCCTGGACGTACGAGACCCGATACAGCAAGAAACATACTTAAAGGTGGATACACCACTACTCATATAGAACGAACATTCAGTTTCCGAGATTTGCAAACAACAAAGATGATACCTGGAGCCACAGGGCCCACAACACCTGATAAACTTTTGTTTACCATAAAATGGTTTTTTACATTGCTGGCAGCCATTCTGCCGGCTGGCAGCACACCACAGCCAGCAAACACACACAAAAATCTACTATTATTTATAACGTTTTACAATGCATCTCGTAATGATTCTTATACTAAATCGTAATTCTTACATCGCTGATTTTGAATAACAATTATAAATACAGTCATCTCTGCAATTACGTGTGTTTCGTTAACGCTAATTTGCTCCAATGAGATCGATGAATCGGTAAAAGCTGTTTGTGAAATGCAAACTTTTGCATATGCAAGTTTGCTCTTATGCAGTTTCATTCCTGGCACTTTAAATTTTCAAAGGACTAATTTAATCTCACCAGAGGTACCAGGGTTATTTTTAATATGCGATTTTCTATAGGTTGGCATCTTATATGAATGCAACTACCCCATAACAGCAGAGATGACTGTACACATCAATCACATGAATGAATCGCAGTCAATCTCGGGGACCAACGAATTGCCGATTGCATGTGTGTAAAATATATTTTTTAAATTTCCTTTATTTTATTTACGTTACTTCAGAGCTTTAAATGTAATGCCATTACATTATTGGTCAATGTTTGGGTGCTGGGAACGCATGTCATTGACTTCCCATTGATTTACATTATAAAAGTTTAAATTTACGCCGGTTCGTCCAGGAACTCATCCCAAGCGTATATCGAGGGCTACCTGTAATTAGTTACACACACACACACACATACCATCATGAATGATGTAGAAATTTTAAATTATGCAAATGGTGAAGGTTTAATTTTAAATAACAATTAGGCCACTTTGTAATTCAAATCATACATCTAAGTTAAACATATGCAGCTACTACCACCAAATTTAACAATGACTTCAACAGTTCAGTCAATTTCAATTTTGTAGGTTTTCTTCACACTACAGCATGAGTAAGGACACCTTATGGGCCTGTCAACGTCTGTCTGCCTGTCACATTCCTAACCCTCCATCATCAGGGTTACCGCCCTCATGATGGAGGCAGCAAGGACCTCTGAGATATCAGTAAACGTCTAACACTCTACATGGCACAACAACCTAGAAGAAAGCCGTCTTCAGACTCACTGCCGTGAAAACCTCAAATCCTACAATGTAAATGAAGATGACATACATATTTTTCAATCACTTTAACACAAAAATACAGAGCGTGTAAATGGAGAAATTACTGTACAGAGGAGTAAATTTAATTTTGTGTGCGCAGATCAGTTTTCTTTCAAATGCTCTATATTCAAATTGTTATTAGTCCCATACATTTCCTAAACTCTTGTACCCACACCAAATAGTGTAGAGACCTACATTTGTCATTGAACACATTGCACCTTAACAAACGACGACACGTTTTTGCAAATGGTAAGAAGGAAGGCCAGTTGATTGCCTACCAGAAGTACCAGTGGTTCCAGAAAACGATACTGAAGATGTTTGCTGGTGGAGGCACAGCCGGTGGTCGGTACCCTGGGACATACATGTAGCAACAACCCAGGGTGCAGCATTCTTTAGGCGGGGAACAGCTGCAAGGAGATGGACAAAAGGCTCAGTTTTAATTCCAGTTGGGGAATTATCATGAACTTCATGAATCCCTCCTCCAAAATACACTGCCACATAATATGCTAAAATAGCATTCTGTTCTGTAGCCTCTGCATTAAGAATTCACACATTATGTTTGCTTTGCTGTTACCAGAAGATTATACACCATTTCATGATCTCAGAATCATTCTATTGATTACTATGTGGTTCAATCTTCTTGCCTTTCAGCCTGGAAATCAACTCCAACTTTCTTTCTGAACCCCTGACTGTTATTTGCACATGGCCCTAATTCATTACAGAATCCCTGACTTTGTTCAGTAATGGCAATAGGTTTATTTCTTATGAATGGTTTATTTGACCATGCACTCTGCCAGTAGCTCAGACTACAAAGTGTCAAATAACAGGATGATTAATAAATATCAAACTGGCAAGGCTCCATTTAAGGTGTGGTGCTTGTATGTGCTGGAATGACTAAGTAAAACCATAAAAACTCAATTCTCATTAGATTATGAGGGCAAACTGAACTACACTGCTGCATATCATAGGCTAATTCCATAAACAATAACTGAAGGTATTTGACTTTATCCATCAGAAATTAAAAAATTATTATTCATTTGGGAGCAGAAATATATTTATGAAATATTATGATATTCATATCTTCAAAACAACTAACTAAAGTGTCCACACAGAATCAATGAGGCCCCGCAGTTTCAGAAAAAAAGCTAATTCTTGTTACTAACCATTCTGTGGCATGATGTTAACAGAAATGTGCAGTCCTTTCTTAGCAAACACATTTGTTAGAAAAAGAATTAAATATGTTGGAATTAAGCAAAATTATGTTGACAAGAAGGTACTTACAAATGACCACCATCACAATATTTTGATGATGCCTGGGAAGAAAAATTGAACATTCTAATTAGTGAGTTTTCAACAAGCAGAATGCTCACATCACTTTTCTTTTATTACAGACGTACTACATATATGAGTGAAGTTTACATACATACACACACACACACAAACACACATACACGAGTGTACATACATTCACTCCACACAAATATGTATATATACATATTAATATAGATTCCATGGTTCCATAACTTAGATTGTCAACAGGATGTGAAGTAAGTCAAGAAAATATAAATACATATTCTAAATACTGTAATGATTTTGACCAGTCACTCAGCACCACAAACAGTTTAATGCAAATATCTGTCATAAATACAATGAAATGACAAACCCAAATAATGATTAGGAAGAAGAAAAGATATTTTAATGTCCACAGACAAAGGGAAATTCATTAAAATAAAGGTTATCTAGTGACTAAAATTCTAAAATAAATGCCAGCATGAATAAATTTGCATTCCAATAGGACTAAAAATTGTCTAGAACACAATAAGCATCCGGTATGAAATTACTGCACTTCATCAACTATAAGTAAATAATAAATGTAGTTTGCCATGACCCTTACAATACTGATGCATCAATGAACATATATCACAATACAAAAAAGATTTGATATGAAACAACAATATCAACATTCCATATCCACTCCTACTTCATGACATGCAAAACAATAATCTTAACCTTTTGGGTCGCACATCCCTTCAAACCTTCACAAATTCTTTTCAACTCAGAGGTACACAATACAAATACAAGATGCAGATTTAACCTCCATGTGTCAAACGCTAACCTCAGAAAATATCAAAAAGGAGTTTACTACACTGTAATTAAATTATCCAATAATCTTCCTCCTACCATTAAAAATTTTAAATCACATCATAAAGGTATTTAACCCAGGGCTGAAAGAGTATCAATGATCTCACACCTTCTAAACAGTAGAATTGTATTATGACATATTCTGCATCCTTGGCTTAGGCCTATGAAGGATCTATGGAACGTAAATAAACTCTGTTTTGCTCTATTTAGGCTTTATTTATCTTAAGTAATTTGTGTTAGTGCATTTAATCGAACTGTATATAAACACAACCCAATACGTATTCACATGCCCACCTTTTCTGTAAGCATGAAGAGAGCCAATATTCCCGCTATAGACACGTACATAATACTGCTCGAGTGTTCTTTTGGCACTTGCAAATAGTCCACGATATCCAAATACAGAGCATATACATTTTATCCGTCCCCTACCGAAAGGCCACGGTCTCCTCTCACAACACTGACGAAGGAAGCAAGACCCACTGTTTTGATGTCACATTGACCTGGCCAATAGACGTTGGCCTACTGCCAGACTAGAGGTCTCCAAAGAACATAGTAGATCGACGGCAAAAAAGGAATGCAACCACAAACATTATTCACTGTGTATTAATGGATAACGTAACCACATGGTCAGCAACTCAGACCATAGATGTCCATTGCTATTAATGTGGAAACACTAAATGACAAAAATCCCGAAAAATTGTATATCGAACATGGATAACTTCCGTAGGTGAAAATAGTGAAACTTTTACACTTTACGGTCTTTGAGTTCGATCAGCCAAAGACACTACGCCAGCATTCAGCGTCGGCGCCGTCGTGACGCCTGATTTCACATTTCCTTGCCATTGCTGTCAGCCAACTATACGAACAAGGGTTGACTTAAACATTTTTGTGACCCCATGCAAATGTTCCGCGTTCACACCACAAAAACTGTTATATTACAATACACCGTGACATTTCCTTGAAACACGTTATAAAACAGCTCACGTACGGAAAATCTCCCTTACTCAAATGTATCAAACCAACGCAGCAGTCAGACTGCAGTTAAAGTAGTAAGATTGATTTCTTTCATCATCTTCCTCTCATAGATTAGACTAATCGCCTGTTCCGACATCTAAATTGTTACGACACCTTCCAACTTGTTCTTGGTCTTCCTATGTCTCGTCTGCCAGACGGCAGTAGTTAGAGGCGTGTAATGGAATGCCATTTTTCAGGCTTAGCATTAGGAGACCGCAACAGGAGGTGTGTGTCCAAAGGAACTAATTTTCTAAGTAGGCTTTAAGGTCTTCAGGCACACTGATGATGGAGGCAACAAGGACCTCTGAAACGTTGATAAACTTTTACCAGACAACACGGTGCAACAACTCAGAAGACTATCAACTAATTTTCTCTTTCCGATACTTATTAAACCAGTTCGCACAACCATCCACAATCACTCTACAAAGTTGGCCAAGTTGTATGGCATGTAACCTCTTTTATCAACTGAATAAAGCATCCATACCGCTGCCGTCGTTTGTTAGCCCGTTGATAGATGGACGAACAATTCGGACAACTGTGTAACCCGTGGTAATGACAATCAGTATACAAACAGCTGATCCCTGAACACATATTAGATAACCTAAAAGAGTTTATCTCGTAGCTGAAAAATGTTGCGATGTTGTTTGATGAATGTTAAGGCGCCTGGATGTTTATATGTGAGCTGTAGAAATAAATGGTGGTTATGCTTTCTTGTGTCGTTATTATAAAGGCAATACTGTAGTTGACTGTCGTAGCTATATAATTTATATTAGCATCAAAAACAAGCATCGTTTTGTGGTATAACATGTTCTACCTCCTTGGCTTGGGCCTTGAAGGTTCATTGGAATGTAAATAAATTCTGTTCTAAATAATGAGAATATTAAAATTTAATTGCCATTATTAATCTGGTAGTTCGTTCCACAGAAGTATGTGTTATATTGTCGGACATGCTCTCTCCCCGTTCTGGTGAATAGAAAAGAAAGCAACTCTGAAGTGCCACTTGTATGGGATAAAAAATTGTAGTGTTTGTATTATGTCACCATTCGTGCACCAAAACTGCAGTTTAGTCTGTCTACTAAAGAGCCGAATGTATTCAAGTCACTGCCTTGAAATTTCTTGTGGTAGCCTTACAAATATGGTAACGAACTTTTTGGATCCATGAAAGGTGGGCAGAGTCTCAACAAGTTGAGTGTCTATTAAGGTCTCAAGAAGTTGGGCCTACAATTCCATTATCCAGGCTGTGAGCTTCTGAGATTACACAGAATCAGTCAGTACGAAGCTCTGAACATGTTTTATCATGTGTGTTAAATTTACCTGTTACAGCAAACAAATCGGGCAGGGCAGTGCATGTTACAAAATATGCGATATGTCTCTGCAACCCACAACATCAGTCACAAAAACAGCACATTCAGCTCCATGAAATGGTTCCTTCTGGTAAGCCACCAAATGTTGGCAGTGACAACTCTGAATTAGTCATTTAGGAATAAGTTAAAAATCAGTTTTGGTTTATCATTCTTTATATTTTTACATGGAAGCTCACATTTCCAACAATATCAGAAGAGACAGAATATTTACATTTAGCAAACTAGAAACTGTTGAAATGCAAGAGAATGGAAGAATCTCTGTTATGCCAACAATGTGGGTTGATACCAGTTTAAGCATTTGAATACAATGTAATTTTTATGGTTTGACTCAACAGGACTGCCTCATCTGGGAGAAATACGTTAATCTTTCAGCCTGATTTTGTTGCAGCAGAGTGCACTACATGGGACAAGGGTTCGAGGCCCAGTTAATTAGAACTTGTGTCAAAACAAAAGAATATTTCTGTTGTAGCTCGTCCCCACGACAACATTTGGTTTGGGAACATGGCAAGTCTACAGACGCAAGTGGAAACGACAGCTGATCGCAGACTTGAAGGCAAGGACCAGTGCTGCTCCATACAACCATCCACTTGAGTATGAAATATTAATGGAAGTGGAAGCATACATTTGATACAGTTATCAGATCACACTGATTTTCATAATTCACATTGTGTGTGCAGTGTGGAGGAGCTATCACGGATGGAGTATCATCCGGTGTGCGTGCGGGGTCACTTCGACCACTCAAGGGAGCTGTACATTGGCCCTCGCACCTTGTTGGTTGATGGTGATGCAGGTATCACCACCCACAAGAGAGGAGTGCAGTCTGGGTACCATGTTGTGACTCCATTTCATCTCTCTGATCAAGAGTAAGGAATGTTCCGTGGACCTTACACTATTATTAATGTAACTTTCCTTCTCATTATGCCAACTCAACAGTACTTTTTTTTAGGTTTTCACAGCAACGTGATTGCCAATGACCTAGGAAGTTGTGCATGTAGTTGTCTGAATGAGTGCCAATGCCAAAATACATGGCACAACTACCCAGAAGATCGCGTTCAATATCTAGAACTATTGCATCATCAGTCCCATTACCATACACCAATTCCCACCACTGACAACAAAGTGTGTATAGTTTTTGTTACATAAGAACTACATTTTGGTTCAATAGTCATAAATGAAATGATGGGTGTGTTCTTTTAACTACTGCGTATGTTTGCAGTATGACGATTCTTGTGAATCGAGGGTGGGTGCCAGCAAACCAAAAAAACCCCAACACACGAAGGGCTGGTCAGGTCGAAGGAGAAGTGGAGATCGTTGGGATTGTACGACTTGGTGAGAAGAGAGCTCCCTTCACACCTGAAAATCAGCCTCACACTTGGTTCTACAGGTGTGTCCTGTGTAGGGGGAACTTAATGGAAATAAGTAATCCCAGTTTTACACTAAAATTCAAGCACTTACTGCATAGTTCACAGTTCTTGCTACACTTGTATAGACCCAAGGCAGATAAATCTGCTGTGATATTAACTAGGTGTTTCAGAGGTGAGAGACATTACTAGGAATCATAAGAGCGTTGCTCATCGCATAGAACTAGAATATTAATGTAAGAAGTATTCAGTAGTACCAGAATTATCACTTACTTTGAATTGTTTATGTTGGTGACAGTGTCGTTGAACATACAATCTTGATATCTGTAGAAAAGTCTTGATGCAAGCAGAGCAGTTTTGCTATTTGCCACTTGGTCTTTCTGTTGTCACAGTCCTGTTAAAATCACAAGCTGTGTCTCTTGAGGACAAATGATATAAGTGATGCAGCAGTTTCTCAGAGTAAAACCAAACGAGTGGCTGCAAGCCACTGCCAAATTTTCTGTACGTCATGCTAATTTTGCAGAGATGTGCCAAGGATGGCCAAAATGGCTGGAACAGAAGCTGTGTTCTTAGACGCAAAGGCAGAGACAACAGTTCCAGACGGACCTATTGGGGGGCAGACCCGAGTGACACTACGAGATGAGCACTTATCATACTCACTGACATGGTAGAGTATACAAGCCAGACTGCTGACAGTACTAACATCATCGAAATGCCTTACAGAATAGCTGTTACAGCATGATCTGAAATGTTGCAGGTATGGGCTCAGTGCTGCCACAGGATTCATGTGGTACAGACTCTTCATTGCAAGGAGACCACTGCTGTAAACGAAGATGCAGACTCGCAAGCAAGGAAATTTGAGGTGACACGTCATACACAAATCATGCTTACATGTGTAACATTTTGAAGAAATAAATAATTATATTATGGCACATGAAAATAACAATTTCCAATCTCAGAGGACCAGAGGCATCATTTCTTAAAGCAGCTCTGTGCTATACTGTGAATACAAATAGAAAGAAGATTGCCATGATCTATATTTCTAACAACATTTCAAATCCTGTTGAAATATGTCACTGTAATTTTTTTCCAACTCATCTGTCTACTGAAAAAGAGCAGGTTATATAGCAATGTCACATCTTCTGTGCTTTCTCCAAATTAAATGTTTTGAAAAACGCCAAACACTTCCAATTAACCATTCATAATCTAACACCCTTTCAATTGACAAGCTTTAAAGTTGATAGAGTATGTCAGAATGATTGAAGTCACGTAACAGCCTGCATAAAGAGTCTGTGAATGCCAGCAAGAATGATTCCACTATTCACTTCATTCGAGTTCCTACGTATGATCCAGTCTATTCCGCTTCCATGACAGCAATACATACTTAAATTTATACAAAATTCAATATTAATGCTAATATTCTTTACTGTTTCGTAATGTGACATTTAGTAGCATGCAAGAGTGAACAAAGACTGATAATATGGAGCTGTTTTTTAAAATTTAATTCGCTGAATAAGACTCTTAACAGAATTTAGTAACGACGAGTACGGTTTGCGGTTTTCGTGGTGATGAGTCGCCTTGATGATGGAGGCAGTAAGGACCTCTGAAACAGTGGTAAACCTCTACAAGAATACAAGGTGCAATAACCCAGAAAAGAATCATACCTAAACCAACACATGTTGTATCAGGCACCCTAAACAACTTAATGGTGAAATGGAGCGCACACCGGAGAACCACCGGCTTCACAACTTGGGCCACAAGACTATCAGCCTATGTGCTCACTGCACATCAGTTCTGAAAGTGCAAATGCGTGAGGCATCTCTGTTCTTTCTGCATGCAGAAGGCAGGTGTCCCTGATTGTTAAGGTTAGGTACATCAATAAATGAATACACAGGGCGTGATGCTGACCACTCACCCCCATCTAGTGCCGAGGTCAAGAATGAGTAGGAGCTATACCTCCTCTCTCCCTCCAAGCGCCTACATGGCGCATAGTGGGACAGCTTTACTTTACTTACAACTTTAACGTCATAGTTCTGATGTCAAAAAATTATCTTTAAAGCTTATGTTCCAGTGGTCTTTGGCACTGCTCATGTCAAAGATGCTGTCCTCAGTCACCTTCAAGTTGAATGATCCAAACAAGGAAACTTGTCTGCCAAGCCCATGTAAGCAGGTATGAAGGTTTTATATTGATGGGTTTTTGAGAGGTTGTGATCCATCTCCTTAGAATGTCATGCAGAGAAATTGTTCTTCTTAACATGATGCTCTTGGGTGAAACATACGTTTGTACAGACTGGATTCAGTGTTGGTTTGATTCCCTTTTTATACTGAATGACAGTATATTGATTCCAGACAAACAGAACAGAAGGGTGTTACTGATCTGTATTATGCAATGAGGCATGATATTCATGTATGTAACTTGAGTACCCCCTTCGTTTATTTAATGTCCTCCGTGTGTTTGGTTTCCACTCCTCTCAGTGCTGCTTTGAAGCTGCGTGAAGTTGCTCTCAGCACTTCGTACAATGCATCAATTTTGCTGCTACAGGAATTTATAGTACTCGGGAGACTGTTCCTCCTGCAAGAAACCCACTGGCCAACCACATCACTTGTGGACTGCCAGGATGTGGCAAGCTTTGTGGGTGGCCAACTGGGTCAGGTTCACAGAGCTGCCTGTGGCCACATGCATTCCTATTAGAAGCAAAATGTGGTAGTGGAACCACGGTTCCGGAGAATTTGACGTAAATACGTCTATACGGAAAGGAAGTTTATATATTGGCATTAATCTAAATATTTCCTTTAGACATGCTTTACAATTGAGGTAAGTTTGATTAAGACATTGCTTATTCAACTTCAATTAGTTACGCTTGAAATGGGTCTGTAGTAGCTGAATGTAATGTAAAGTAATGTAATGTAATGAAATGTAAGGAAAGGTAAGGTAATGTAATGTAAGGTAATGTATGACATTTCCTAGGTAACGATAATGCCGAGTAAACAATTGATGTTTCCAAGGTAACATAACAATGCACTTACACTTTATCCTTTGACTTTTTGCTGAATGACACTGACCCTAAAATATAGATGTATTTACGTCAAAAGAAAGAGTCCTCTGGTGTTTTCTGGAAAAGGCTTATATCAATGTTTACAGCATATGAGGGGAAAAATGAGTCAACGGTATAAACACTGATGCATTAAATAGACATTAAAATCAATGTAGGAAGATGGTGAATACAATGTCATTTATGTACTTACAACAGAATATCAAATGATAATAGTCCATACACTTGAAAGTAATAAGCATCTAAAATGTAATTCAAAGTTCCATCTAGATTATGTTAATAAAAATAGAAGGATACAACTTCCATCTTTGGACAGACTGCTTTGATCCTCACACCTTGGTAACAAGAGGTGCTGTTTCTTTGGCAACTCTCAGCATTACTCCTATCAAGCATCTGCAATGTAAGCCACTTTTCACTCGCCTACTTCATGCTTCTGTAGTGAATGCACTGACTACATGTTATTTGGCACTTGTAATGGAACAGAAGACAAATTGGACACCTACAAGAACCGGGTAAAGCAACAGAGAACACGGCTCTCACGCCATGTCAATGTGCAGTGTCTGTTATGGAGATTCAAATTGATTAACACTATTCCTATGTACAGTCTACCAACTAAAAATAATTTCCTGGAAATATACAAAACAAACATGGCAATGTATCATGAGTAGAACCTGAGCCACGTTGTGCTGTAAAGACAGCAAGCGTCGCAGTTCTGGGTAAAACGCTGCTCCTCACTGTCAACAAATGGCAGTCCCAGTGCACAGGTTTTGGAAGATTATAAGCTTCAATATAACAACATAACTACAATGATGAAACTAGTTCCTGTGTAACATGTGACCACTGTACCTGTTCATACAGCTCTGCACCTCAGCTATTGCTACCTTAGTAGTCAACAGAGCTGGGTGCAGAAAACATTAATCATTTCTTCTTGTCCTTCCTACCAGCACTTTTGTTGGTCCGGTTCTCGCCGGCAGGCGGCTGGGCTGGTACCGTGGCACGCTGGTCCTCCATTCGGCCAGACTGCAAGCGCATTATAAGGGAGAAGAAGTCCTCATCTGGGACGGTCGGGCCACGCGTGGGTGGGCGTGGGTTAGTGTCCGAGTCTGCGTCTCCAGGAAGAGAGCTTCTCTGGTCCTCAAGACGTGACCCCTACAAATATACGTTTTGCACGTCATGACCGTATGCATCACCTGGTATCAGGTATCAATGACACAGCAGCTCACAGCCTGCACCATATGCCGATGAGGAAGATCTCACCTGACACCTCATCAACATCTCCAGGAATGTGTCATCTGGGGTTGTGCTCCCATCACCCCCCATCTGTGCTGGTGGAAGCAAGCCAGGGAGATGAGGCAATGCAACACGCTGCTCATCCATTCGTTTACTCTGCATGCCAGCGATCAGGTCTAGCAGGTCATCTTGCATGGCTACCAACAGTCAGAATAAAGTCCACTGATCACTCTTGTTATGTCAAGAGTCCTCTCTTTATCGCAAATGTTAATGCCCTATGAAAATAGCACAGTTCTTACAAAGAATAATTTGCCTAAGCCTTTCACGAGTCACAAGGGTCAAACACAACTGACATCAGAACATCACACACATGAACAAAAGAGCTGATATCTTTGACGGAAATTGATTTATTACTTAATTCATGGCTTATTTGATGACAATGTCAGTTGGTCATACTATAGTGCCGAATGATACAATTACTGAATAATGAACTGGAAAAAATATGTATGGAAGTTGCCATGGCCTCACTTAAGGTGTTATCCCAGCATTTGGCTAGAGGCTCTGAGCAAAATCATGAAAAACTTCAGATAGGATAGCCTGTCTCTGGGCCAATATTTGAAGCTGGGAACACCAAACACGAAGGACTGCTTCCGGCCACCTGATGTGGCTTGTGTCCCGAGAGTCTCTCATCAACTTCAGTCGCCACGAAAGATTCACTTTATACATCACGAAGGATTGTAAACACTCAGCTACCGTTATCTGAGAGAAGTGCATGTTTCCTTGATAAGTCATTTGCTATCAAAAATGGATTTCATGTGAAATTCCCTTTAGCAACAGAATACAAGCGACCGCAGAGTAATGCAGCAGTTCTTACCACCGCTGCTGTTACGTGGCAGCACGTAATTGCTGTTTGGCACACAGTTAGTGTTCTCTTTGCTCTCTGCTACTGTCAGAGAACACCGTTGGTCATCCATCCGCTTGGACTGGAAACGTGATAACAAGTCGAAGAAGGACTCCTCATCAGCCTGTGACACATTTCAGATCACCAACTTTAAGCATGATCACTATGACCCACTGCAGTGTGGCTTAGCAAACAAACAGAGCAGATTAAGTTAAATGCTGGTTTCTGTACACAAAAAGGAAAATTAAAGGTGTTAAAGCGAATATACGCATGTCACGCAACAGCGTAACATTCTGATTACACAGCATGATTACTGTAAAATGGAAATATTTTATGTTAAGTGCAAAGGGATATAAAGTTATGGACACATAAGAACAATACTATATTTATATGTATAATAAATTTAAAACACCGGTTATTAAGCAGTATTGTGGTGAGCAACATAAATTTAAAGCATCATGTTAAAACATTTTTGCAATCTTAAAAGAAGTAACTTCTTACTTATAACAAAGATTTAAAACTGCAGAGAATGACCACAGTAATTTAAATTCATTGAATCAACTTTATACATAAAAAATTATGTAAAAATCATCCTACGGAGAGAAGAAGATAACAAAGGTAACTGCCAATTAGTCACAATCATGACACACACCTTTGCATCCTCTGTGGCAGAACTCTTGGCATTAGTCATGTTCTGTGCCCCCACCACTGCCTCCATATCACTCGGTAATGTGTTGGCCCTCTGCTTGCCATCAGGGGTCAGCTATAAAAGTATACATAAGACACAGGACACAAGATCAACATTGACACCTTCACTACATAAACATCATGTCATGTCAAATGGCGTGGCCAGTTCTCCAGTCACATGGCAACATTCCTCCTCAGTTGTTACACAATGCTTCTTCAATGGCAGAGACTGTATGGCACTGAATCGTAGAATACTATGAATCATTAATGGAAATGGGTGTGAAGTGGCCGAAGCTTAGTTACTATTATAACCATTTGCAAAGAGGGACTTGAAAGAAAAGAACGAAATGCCTATATCTATATCAAGATTTCAACACTAAAATTACATGAGAAGCCTAGCCAATTCTCAAAAATAAACAAGCGCTACAGACTATTTACTAAAATAAACAAATAAAAAACCCACTGCAGGTTTCAGTAATTTGGAATGTGTTGTGAGAACACACCACACGTCTCAGACTACCATGTTTCTGATCATTCACAGTCTTCCACATCATTACCCCAGACAGCTATGAGAATACTTGAACTAAAACACTTTTCCACAACTGGAATCATGCATCATGGTGTGAATGGCAATTCATATGCAGCAGATTAGATGAACCTATCAACAACGTCATTGTAAATGAATCGTAAATTTTTTACTTTCATCGTGATTTTAAAAGATAATGCTTCAATATATTACATTCATATTCAAAACAAAACGGGTTCATTCCTGACAACTTTGACAGGCCATATTGTGCTAGCAGTTTCATAATTCTTTATTCAATAATACAACTTTTTATTTTCACTTCCAGTTTTCATATTCATGATTTTGTGGAGACTTCCTTGTTACAAGCAACACAGTACGCAATTTCCCGCTTGCCAGGGCTGCTGATTAGCATACCACACCTCAAACAAATCCAGCTGTTCCATGCTTTGCCTCCTCACCCTGTATCTCTGGAGCCCAGGGGACACCAATTCCAAGCTGTCAGGTGACAGGTCACTAACAGGCAGCCCCAACACCTTGCGCAAGTCTGACACATTCATCTGTGCAGTGGCCTGGCCCATGGGGTCTCCCAGCTGAAGACAGACAAGCAGCAGTTACCAGGCTAACCTCAACCCAAAATAAACATGAACCTGACAACAAGATCTACCAACCTCTTTTGATATTTCCAGATGTTTGCTTGCAAAATACAGAGCCTTCTCGTGGTTGCCCATTGCTGAATGCGCATTGCCCAAGCTCCAGCACGCTCGTCCTGTCGGCACACAAATTGCTCAACCGTACAATACGCAGAGAACAAATTTACCACGAGGAAAACTTATCAGTACAGCGGCGTTTGTCAGCATACCTTCCCCCACCCGGTCCACGAGTTGTTGTGCGATGATGAGATGTCGCAGGTGATACTCGACAGCAACTGGATAGTCACGCAACAGCGTATACGTGTTGCCCAGACTGTAGCAGGACTGTGCCTCCACTGCCCGATCCCCCAGCTCTTGTGCCAGTACCAAGGTGCGTCTGCAATCGCAATCAGAACAACAACTCAGACATCCTGCAGCAGTTCTTTTCCTTGCATGACGAAACATGATGATGACGACAATTACTTATAATGCTCTGCAGCTGCTTCAAACTCTCCCAGGAAGATGTGGGAATTGCCCAAATTGCTGTTGGCTCGTCGCTCTGCAGCTTTATCTCCGAACTCACGGGCTATCTTCAGTCTCTGTAACACCAGACAAAGTGTGTGTTATTAGTGGCTCTACTCTGCATAATACATTGCCTACTAAACACAGCTCACCTCCTCATGGTAATGTATTGCCTGCTGGAAGTTTCCCAGCAAGTAGTATGTATTGCCAAGGTTACCACACGCCCGACCTTGGGCGGCTCGTTCGTTCAATTCTCGCATCAGTTCCAAGTTCTCCCTGTAATAACATGTGAAAACGGAATGACATGAAGCTCCAACAAAGAACATAAGCATTCTGTTCAAACAGTTTGTGCCATGTAAAATAGATGCAGTTCCCTCACTCATAGTACTTGACAGCCTGCTGAAGACACGATCTCACATCTTCTGGGAATTCTCCTGGGTCCTGCTGGCCCACTCGCCCTATGTGCTTCCCTTTAGCATGATACACATTCCCAAGATTGTAAAGGGCTCGGCCTTCGCTTAGCTGGAATCACGAGAACAAAATATACAGTACGGCTGCAAACCGTTTAGAGGATCACATGTTCTGGCCAGCACAGTACAAACAAATTACAAATTATAAATCCATACACACCTTATCTTTCAATTCCTGTGAGATTTCCAGGTGCCGTTTGCAACATATCATAGCTTCATCAAACTTTCCCATCACTTTGAGTGTGTTGCCAAGGTTACCACTTGATTTTGCCTCTCCCAGCTTGTCCCCCATTGTTCTGAAAAAAAAATGCAAGTTAACACAATATCATATGCAGTTGACATTTATGATTAACATAATTCAACAAGTCTGTAGTTCCTTTAAACATATAAATAAAGTCTTAAAAAGATGACCATCATTTCTCAAGTCTTTCGGCCCCAAAAAAGTTTTCATAACCTTCTTGTAGCAATAAACTCATGACAGATGACTTGATTCTCTAAACATCTCTCAGTTCCTGTTAAGACAAAAACACTTGTAGGCAGTGGTGTCAACAATGCAACACTGCTTTACCAGAGATGTTATTTCTCGCATATCAAACACACTGACAGCTGATCCAGTGTGTTCCACGACTATCAGACGGGTCAATTAGGATCTACATCATGGTGAGATTTAACGTTCTCACTGCAATGAATAGGAAGATAACCGTCTTCTGGGATGCTGCCATCTTGTGTAATCTGGTAGAGGTAGTACGCTCTGAAATGCCAGTTAATGTCTACCAGACTGTACAGCACAATGTCCCAGAAGAGAACCATTGTACATCTACATCATACTTACACTTTTCATTTATCTTTATTTATTCGTATATTACATTTCAAACTGCACCATTCCAATTTCTGTACACGGGATCAGAAGAAAAAAATGTATCTGAGCATTCAAACATTTCTGGTTGGTGGTGAATCAACTTATTCCAGAAATATCATCACGCAGTCCATGCCGACAGGAGCAGACAGAGAGAATGTAAAACAGGCAATGTCTAAGGTTTCTGTCACACCTCATGAACATGCAACAGCACAAGACATCAAAGCTGAAAACTGTTTCACTAAACAGGTTTTTGAATGGTAACTTCTATTCTGGGAAATCCCAGCAAGGGATCAATTGTTCAGGCAGAAGAGTTCATACTTTTCTTCCATTGCCAGGGCAAACACCATGACCACATCGCATCACAGTCCTCCTAAATCAACATTTATCGCATTCACCTTTTCACAAATTAACTCTGCCTTTGACAGACTGTCATAAAATAATGACAGAAACAAAATATTTCTTCAGAACCATCATAATGAAAACCATGTCATGATCCTCCCCACGTTTAACATCTCCACACAGTACACACTTAACAATTTGTAAACAACAAAGTAGACATCGCGTGGTAAAGTCCCAGGTTATGACATCAGGAAAACTTGAAGATGGTTACCAACATTTCAGGGAAATAGGGTAACTCTATTTTCAAGGTTCACTTCTAACCTGATGATAAAATCAGCATAATCCAATGATTCTGAAACCTTTGGATTATGCTAACTATTAGCAATGTTTCATAACAGATTTCTATTTTCCAAGAAACAAAACATTCAAGAATGACATAACTTCAAGAAAAAAGGCAAGCATGACACTGATGAAATCTTGCTCTAAGTTCAAAACAATTTTCATATATTAATGAGATACACATGGTGTGGTGTGCCTGGAATTGGTGGATTGAGGGCAGTAGCATAATAGAAGAGTCAACTTGCATTATTAAAACATTCAGAAATTCTACTTGTGTGAGCTGTTGACTACATGAAGCTATTTCATGTAGTTCAAGTAAATGTTTAGTCTTACAATCCATCAAAATAAACAAACCTAGCAAGTGTGAGGTCATGTTTGTGATACTGCATAGCCTTCACATAGTCACCCAGGTAGAAATACGCATTTCCCAATTGACTGTATATGGCACTCAGAGTCCGAAGATCGTCTGTACCAGCCTGGATTGCTGCCTGGAAGAATGCCACCCCAGCTCGGCAATCTCCAGCTTTACATAACCTCTCTCCTTCCAGCGCTAGTTCTAGGCACATGTTGCCCCCGTCTCCTGAACTCTAAAATTATGACAGCATATGTTTAATAACACAGCAACATAACAAGATGTATACTACGTTCTCTACAAAATGAAAATCTAGCTATAATATTACGGTTACCTGATTATCACTGGACAAATTCTCAGCACTTGCACTTACTGACATCTTTACCATCAGCTGTATTAGGCCGACAGCTAGGTCAGTAACATCTCAAAATTAAATTTATAATTTTTATTATGCCATTTTATTATGACACAGTGTTAAAGAACTGCAAAAAATCATAATTAAATTAGCTATCACAATACAAACAATTCTACACTAACGCAAAACACATTTCGGGGCGATGGCAATTGCTCTCGCAAAATCTCGTATATAACGATATAAAATGGCGGTTACTGCAAGATGAATTGTGGCTAGCTGCTCTTACGAAATATTTGAAAATTTCAACAACCAAGAAGACAGCCGTCTTTTTCCTCCATTAAGAATAAAAATAATAAACTCTATCAGAAAACATTATGTCATTAGCAGATGACATTTTCGAATATGCAATACAAATAAAATACGTCATCATTCAATACATTCCTCTGCATCGTAAAGAACCAACTAAAACGGACCCGTCACGTCACATTAGCTATCCCCATACAGCTATCACTGTCAGGTGCTGTAGTTGGTATAAGTTTACCGACGTTTCAGAGGTCCTTGCTGCCTCCATCATCAGGGCGACGAGTTAAGGTACAATTTGGCTGCACGCGACAGAGACAAGCGACCGAGGCAGGCGACAGAGACGGGAGACGGACACATCGCAGCTTGTCGCCACACACTTTTGAGGTGACGACCGAGACATGCGACAAAGTGTTTGTTTTCTTTGTTTTGTTGAGACATACGTGCACATATTCTGTGAAAAATGAGTACAAAAATGCTTCTAAAAAGGTTACTCGAAGAAGAAGAAGATGTGTTGCTGTGTTATTTGTTGCGGCAAAGTGTTTGTTTTCTTTGTTTTGTTGAGACATACGTGCACATATTCTGTGAAAAATGAGTACAAAATGCTTCTAAAAAGGTTACTCGAAGAAGAAGAAGATGTGTTGCTGTGTTATTTGTTGCGGCAAAGTGTTTGTTTTCTTTGTTTTGTTGAGACATACGTGCACATATTCTGTGAAAAATGAGTACAAAATGCTTCTAAAAAGGTTACTCGAAGAAGAAGAAGATGTGTTGCTGTGTTATTTGTTGCGGCAAAGTGTTTGTTTTCTTTGTTTTGTTGAGACATACGTGCACATATTCTGTGAAAAATGAGTACAAAATGCTTCTAAAAAGGTTACTCGAAGAAGAAGAAGATGTGTTGCTGTGTTATTTGTTGCGGCAAAGTGTTTGTTTTCTTTGTTTTGTTGAGACATACGTGCACATATTCTGTGAAAAATGAGTACAAAATGCTTCTAAAAAGGTTACTCGAAGAAGAAGAAGATGTGTTGCTGTGTTATTTGTTGCGGCAAAGTGTTTGTTTTCTTTGTTTTGTTGAGACATACGTGCACATATTCTGTGAAAAATGAGTACAAAATGCTTCTAAAAAGGTTACTCGAAGAAGAAGAAGATGTGTTGCTGTGTTATTTGTTGCGGCAAAGTGTTTGTTTTCTTTGTTTTGTTGAGACATACGTGCACATATTCTGTGAAAAATGAGTACAAAATGCTTCTAAAAAGGTTACTCGAAGAAGAAGAAGATGTGTTGCTGTGTTATTTGTTGCGGCAAAGTGTTTGTTTTCTTTGTTTTGTTGAGACATACGTGCACATATTCTGTGAAAAATGAGTACAAAATGCTTCTAAAAAGGTTACTCGAAGAAGAAGAAGATGTGTTGCTGTGTTATTTGTTGCGGCAAAGTGTTTGTTTTCTTTGTTTTGTTGAGACATACGTGCACATATTCTGTGAAAAATGAGTACAAAATGCTTCTAAAAAGGTTACTCGAAGAAGAAGAAGATGTGTTGCTGTGTTATTTGTTGCGGCAAAGTGTTTGTTTTCTTTGTTTTGTTGAGACATACGTGCACATATTCTGTGAAAAATGAGTACAAAATGCTTCTAAAAAGGTTACTCGAAGAAAATATGTGCACGTATGTCTCAACAAAACAAAGAAAACAAACACTTTGCCGCATGTCTCGGTCGTCACCTCAAAAGTGTGTGGCGACAAGCTGCGATGTGTCCGTCTCCCGTCTCTGTCGCCTGCCTCGGTCGCTTGTCTCTGTCGCGTGCAGCCAAATTGTACCTTTACTCATCTACAAGGCGTTATAACCCCGAAGACAGCCATCTTCATGGCATCTTTCTGGTTGATACAGCATATTCATATGACCCTCAACAGAACCAACAAAGCTCAGCAATAAAAGTGAAACTTCACATCCGGAAGTGTAATGTGAATTTTTTTGGGAGAGGTTATATGAGGTGGAGGAAGCTGAGACCAGCACACGCTGCAGCACTTGGTCAGGTGAGAGGCAGATCGTCTGGTCGACAGGGTAGTTGCATCCGGAGTTACACATAGATATCTCGGAAGCAGATGTAGGTGAGTTATCTGAGTGGATGAAATGAAAACAATTGTTATGTAGCTGCCGACATTTGAGTAGGAAAATCTTTCGGAGCGTGCCCCTGCAACATCTATGCGGAGGTTAGAAGGGCCATTTGAAACACTCGCTAAACTGAGATGTAGGGCCCAAAGATCATGTGTGCCAACTGCATTTATTCCAGAATCCAATATAAAGAGAAAATCAATGGAACTTGAGGTTCGTTCGATGTTTGTCTCGAGTTCTCTGAGATGCACCCAGGCTTTGTTATCAACAAACTGAATTGCGCTGCGCCAACACGTGTTGCCTGCACGCTCAGCCCCAGTGTTGACTGTAGCACAAGTACGCGAAGTAAATATTCATTTCATACGCAGGCTTACATCTAGAATAAAATGGACAAAGCGCGATTATGTATTTTAAACGAGGAATCAATTTTGAGAAATCAGAAAACGTTCTAATTTTCGATATTACAAGAAAAAAACAGATGCGTTCGACCACTCTTGATAAAAAGAACGCTGAAACATTCATTTTGGAACAATGGTCCGAGTAGTAGACAATATTAACATCTCTCCGTGTAGCATTACTTTAATAATACAACAGAGAAAACGTTAAAGAAGCAAATCACTGTAACAATGAACGTAAATGTCTTGACTCGGAAGATACAGACAGATGCAGCATCATTCAGATCACTTTCACTTAACTTCCCAGCCCGGCAAGGGTGACCAAAATTCTTCCGTTCAATTCATTCTGTATCTGAACCTTTCGCTTTTCTATGCGATAAACAGTGAAGTGAACTATGCACGCATATTTGCATTCTCAGCTTAAATAAAACTGCGATTAGTTAACAAATTCCTATCAGAAGCCTTTTATTGTATTGCATAACAGACGCAAGGGAAAGTTGTTTCTGTACTTTGTTAAGCGCTACGCCATGAAGAATGACGAAGCAAAGGTTCAACTCCATGCATTCTTAACCTCGGGACCAATGCCTTTATAGAAATGCGAAGCGAAATATGGAACTTCCTTCGTATTAAACAAATGCACGCCTAAACTTTAATTATAGAACGCCAAGTTCCAATACTTTTAGAGCAGCTGAACATTTAGAAGGAATATTCTAAAACAAGACTTGAGGTTTTCGCTGCAATAAAAATGTGGATTGTTGCCTTCTGCATTACGACGCCATGTCAAAGCCCAGGAGACCGGTTCACTGTTGAACAAGATCTGAAAGAAGTGAATCATAACAACTGCAGGTCACAGACTTTCCAGGGTCAAATGTGTCATTTATTGTTGAGCGTATAAAAATCCCTCGGACGGTAACGCGCGAAATAAACTGACTAATGTAGCGAATTAAGACCTGGCGAAACAGTGTGCTAGTGACGGATATCAACTCAGGTTTTAACAGTGAAAAGCATTGTTGCAAATTAGATTTTGCCGTTATAAAGAAAACTTAAATTCGCTGGACCCTCTTGTACCGCGAGACGAAGGGACATGAATTTAGCCAGTTCACAGTTCCACGCCATCAGACCGGAGCACATCCCTGAAACAGGAAGCAGACTGCGTGTTTACTATGGAACTTTCTTTTCGGTAAGCTCGCACACAACTTTCTTCAGCTGACTCACGCCTTCAGCACGTGATGCAGACAGTCTGCAGTATCACACACAATTATTGTCAAGAAACTTTTCAACCGTTGCATTAGAACGACACTTCACAAAGGAAATGAAGGATAATCCCAATGAAGTTCACTTCAAGCTTCAAATCATATTTCGCTTTAATGCTCTCCTTCGTAAACTATGAAAGATTCGTTGTTCGTGTGTTCACACTGCGGAAGTTATACAATAAAACAATGGAGGTTGGCGAGTGAATAAAGGATTTGAAAGGAGGTGTTAGTGACCCATTTGAAGAACCTATCGTGATATTCGCCCGAAATCAACGAGAAATGGCACTGGAGGTTATTATAAAGCCCCCAACAAGCGTCAATTTGCACGGAAGTACAAAGGAAACGACACAGAGGCTGTAGGCGCCACTGCTCGGTGGCAACGCAAATTAATAAGAGGCAGGCGCAGGGCGTCCTTAATTAATACAGCCACACGAAGTAAGGTGAATGGTCAGAAGATGGCTGTCTCCTGGGTTGTTGCGCCGTGTAGTCTGATAGAAGTTTACCGGCGTTTTAAAGGTCCTTGCTGCCTCCATGCGATCAAGGCAATGATTGAGGAAGCAAGGACCTCTGAAACATGTGTGAACTCGTACCGGACTGCAAACCATAAGACAGCCATCTTTGTAATCACCTCCATGAGAACCTCAAATCCTGCATTCGCGAATAATTAGTTTCGTGCTCTGGTCGATTTACCTCGAATGAAAGTGCCCCCTGACCAACAGATGGAAACGCGTGCCTTATTTTTTCAACTAACGGCACTTTATTAAACACAAATCAGAAAACAGGGTTTTGAATTGATAGAAGTAATTCATATTTGTGGTTACAATAGGTGTTGGAAAGGAGTGTGAATAGATGCAAAAAGTATCAAACCCTCATTCATCAAAGCACACCACAAAAATGTACATTTCCGTATGCATACATTACTCAAATCCACGAACATCACCATATCTAAATTTTAGGAAAATACAAATTAAATAAAACAAGGAACAAGTAACAAGGAAGTAGGAATAGACACGTCATGATGATAATGAATCAACAGTAATCATAATTTCTAAGCGAGATGTTACCTTAATTCTGCGTTGTTTGGTGCAGGATGTGGCTAGCCGTGCTGCTCTTCGTCGTTATCCTAGGGCTCTTCATTTACCTTGACACCAGAAAGCCAAAGGACTTCCCCCCAGGTATGTTCACTCCAAGCCACAAACAGACCCTGAGTGCACAGTTGAACTTGCAAATACTAAACTCGCACTGCGACTCTTGCATCAGGTCCACCATGGATTCCAGTGTTGGGGAGTGCCCTCCACGTGCACAGGTTGCGCAAGCAAACGGGCTACCTCTACCGGGCGACAGCCGAGATGGCAAAACGCTACGGCCCTGTCGTGGGGCTGAGGGTCGGCAAGGACCGCCAGGTTGTCTTGTGTGGGTATGAAGCCATCAAGGACATGCTTTCTCGCGAGGAGTTCGATGGCAGGCCTCAGGGACCATTCTACGAGACCAGGACATGGGGCAAACGAAGAGGTGAGTGCCAAGTTGTACCATGCAATGAGAATGATGTCAGGGGCTGAGTCCACTGCTGCGATGTGATGAAATCTATCCTGAACATCCACACGAACCAAAGATTTCTGTGTTCCAGGCGTGCTGCTGACAGACGAAGACTTCTGGCAGGAACAGCGTCGCTTTGTGCTGCGCCACCTGAAGGAGTTTGGTTTCGGACGTCACACCATGGCAGAGCTGGTGGAGGAGGAGGCTGGCCAACTTGTCCAAGCATTCCAACAGAAACTGCAGGGCTCCCAGGTTGGTAGGACTGCGTCATACTTTTATTTTGAACGTGAGATGGCAAAGGCACAGAAATAAAAATAACACATCTTCGTTATTTATTTGTGGCTCAGATTACAAAGCACTAAAAGATGAGAAAATTAGTTGAATAATAAATTGGAAAGGACATGGAAGGAAGTGACCATAGCCTAGCTTAAGGCACTATCCTGGAGTTTGCCAAGAGGGACCGCGGAGCACAACAAATTGCAACAGAGAACAAATATTTATAGAAAGAGCACACACCTGTTTTCAAAAAAGACATTTAGTGTACAAAAATAAAAATGTAAAACAGAAAAATTACGATGTGTTACTAATTACTAAAATATTCTCAATTATGAATAATAATGTGATATTAACAATTATTTGATTTTTAATTTGATATTCAACTTTATATATTAATTCTCTTTTCAAAGCCTCATGGAGGACTTGGCAAAATCTTGTCGCACACTAAATAAATAAAAAATAGAAGATTCATTTGCTGTCTTAAAAAACTGGATGTACGATGCGAGAGTAAAGTTGCAGGTTTTACTTGTGCGCTGTTGAAGCAGCAGACACTGCAGCTAATGCATTGCTTGCAGAACGCAGGTGTGGTGATGCCAATGCACAATGCCTTTGGTGTCTACGTCCTCAACACATTGTGGTCCATGATGGCTGGAATCCGCTTCAGTCATTCAGACCTAGAGCTGAAAATGCTTCAGGGTTTGCTCACTGAGCTGTTTGCCAACATTGACATGGTGGGCTGCCTCTTCAGCCAGTTCCCGATGCTGCGCTTCCTTGCACCCGAGCTCTCTGGCTACAACCGGTTCATCAATATCCATCAGAGAGTATGGAAATACCTTAAGGTCAGTCCAGCGTCACTGATAAAATATGAAGTTTGGCATCACTGTTCATTCACCACTAGCACCTCAATTAAACATCTAAGTCATGATCGCGATCACTAAATTCTTGGACCGTGTCCATCGTCTGTATTTTTAAAAAGAACGCTATACATTTTGAAAGCAGGATCCGATTCTGAAACTTAAGAGTTCTTTTTAAAAACGCAGACGATGGACATAGTCCAAGAATTTAGTGATCGCGATTGTATCACATCATCAGTACCCTTTAAAATTTATCTAATACATGTACTCCAACCCATGGTCCTCAGACCACATGCAGCTCTCTGATATGTTTTGTGCAGCTTGCATGTATTTTTTTTTAATAATATGCGTACTCTTTCAATGAGCATGATCACAGATATTTCTCTGATATTAGAAAACACATTCTGTTAATGTCTGCAGTATTTTACAGTTAACTACAGGCTACAGCTTAATGAAGAATGTCAATTCAAGAATTAAGATGTCTCACTGAAGAACATCTGGAGTGATGGGTATTAATCACAAAGGACATTAATCTAATGCTGAAGGATTATTCAAGCAATAGCAGCAGCAAATATTTCACTAATGACTAATTTTGCTAAAGAAAATTGTCAAGCAACAGGCATGCACAAACCCATTATAACAGCAGATTAATAATATTTTTAATAAATTTTCATAAAGTTCAACAAATGTCCTGTATAACTTTGCAGCACATAAGTCAATAAGTGTGACTCAGTCTTTGGTCTGGAAACAGTTCATAAACCTGACCTAAATGTTTGTTGTTATATGTACAATTCAAACACAATTACAAATAAAACAAGACAAATACCTGATGTCATGTACACATTTTTAGTGAGGTAAAGTGTGAAGAGATATGAGACTTTCATGGAGAAAACCATGAACCACTGAACATCCTGGATGCATTTGTGAAGGAAAGATAACAAATGAATTTCTCTGGAAGTTGTGTAATTCATTACACTCACTACAATGTGGTGATATTACTGCATCTTTGGTGTGTTAACAGGCAGAGCTGGACAAACACAAGGCCACTTTCCAGCCAGACACTTTGCGCGACTTCATGGATGCCTACTTGAAAACGCTTTCATCTGGTCAGAAGAAGCCTAGTTTCTCAGGTACAGCATTAACAGGGAGAGACACGAGCTGAAGGCCGCACGAACAAAGAAGCCGACTGCAGTCTCGTCAATTCTGATTGTGGCGTGCGGCCCAAGGGCTGGATTACATTATTTTATGATGTGGACTGTCCACCTTAGCCCTTAGATATTTCTTCCAGAAGCATCTTTTCAGTCCTGGAGTAGTAGCAAGATACCTTTCATTTGCTTCCAGAGTCTCAGTTGCTCGCTATCTGCATGGACATGTTCATGGCTGGATCAGAGACCACCACAAAATCCCTGGGGTTCTGTTTCCTGTACCTGTTACTCTACCCTGAGGTACAGCAGCGTGCCCAGGCCGAGATTGACGCCGTAGTAGGGAGAGGCAGATTGCCAACCCTCAATGACAGACCCAAGTGAGTGTCATAAGTTATTGTGATAGAGTTGAAGTTGTTTGTTAACCCAGCTGCTTGGTTGAGATAAATGCACCTGTTTCAGGATGCCATACATGGAAGCCATTGTGCTGGAGTCGGTGCGTATGTTCATGGGAAGAACATTCAGTATTCCCCACAGGGCCCTGAAAGACACTGAACTCCAGGGTTATCACATTCCAAAGGTCAGCAGCAAGCTACTGAGATGTTTTATGCCAGTGGAAAACTTAAGGACTATATATATGAGAACCAGAGCTTGCTTATGTTGCAGGACACAATGGTCATCTGCAACTTCAATGGTAGCCTCATGGATAAGGGTTTCTGGGGAGATCCTGATGTGTTCCGGCCTGATCGTTTCATTGATTCACAGGGGAGCGTTATCATTCCTGACCAGTACACACCCTTCGGGTTTGGTAAGTTGTTATCACTGCAGTGATATGACGTGTGCCTGATATAACGTGTGCAGTCTGAAATCTGTTTACATTGCCAACAGGAAAGCACCGATGCATGGGAGAGACACTGGCCAAGTCAAACGTATTTCTCTTCACAGCATCGCTACTTCAGAACTTCAACTTTAGCATCCCACCAGGTACAGTGCCCCCATCTACAGACTGCATTGATGGTGTCACACCAGCTCCAAAACCCTTTCAGGCTCTCGTTACCGTCCGTGCAATGGACTAAACAATTATCGTTTGCGAGGAATGCTTCCCTTTACACTGGAAGATCAGTTCTTCTATTATCACGGAGCCTGTGACTGAACAAACAGAAACTGAATGAAAATTCTCTGACAATCAGTGCACAGGCTGAACAGTTCCACTGACACAGTGTTCTGAGGCAGAAGCAAGTGACTTTCATCACAGTCCTATACTTCTGTGATGACTGAATGTACAATTTTGTTGCTTTGTGTGGAAAGCCATGGGGCACTACAAATGATACTCTGGTAGATTCATTCATCTGCATTTTCCAGAACTGTTGTAACTCAAAGTGTATAACCAGTACTGTTAAGGTGGATGTTATATGACATGTGACAAATTTTCAACACCCTCTCCTGTTATATAAAGTGAAGCTTTTGCGGCGACTGAAGTTGATGAAAGACTCTCGGGTTACAAGCCGCATCATGTGGCTCAATGGTTTATTCGCCATTCACAAGAATGTCAAACATGAAATACACTTTAACACCATATCACACACCATACAGACCACTGCTCTGTGTACTTGGGAGCGGTACGTCTCATTTTCACAGACATGAATCTGAATGGCCTAACCAACCACCTTCAGTTCCACTGTTATCACGTCTTTTGCCTCTGCACATATATTGTGACACAATTAGAATATGTTCACTTTCTTATTATGAATAAATGTTACATAAATAGTGACAATCTGTATTTTCTTAACTCCCAAAGCAGGATTAAGAATAACCCTTTGAGATGACTTCCCTCTTACTTCACAGTTTTCAGCAGTAAGACTCAATATGAAAATGTGCTGCTTCTCATTAGTGGAACGAATGTGACATCGTGGTCCAGTGATTGAGACTGGCTCTTTCTATTGGACCCAACAGAATAGGTGCCCCTGCCCCATAAACCTGAAGACGAAACTGGATCCTGTTTTTGAAACATCATACACACTTTATCCTTGGACGATGGACAAAGTAAAAAAAAAAAAAAAAAAAACTTACAGCACTCATTAAAGAACAGTAGGAACATTTGCCGACATGCTTACTCATTCCATTCTTGCTCAAGTGACCTTTAAATAAAATCCACTTTAAAAATTGCAAGAGAACAACATAAAAATGCACAATTTTCATACCAATACCAACATACATTCACTGATATAGTATTAAAATAAAATCAATTTGACTTGTAACCACTATTTTTCCTAGCAATATTTATTTTTTCAGGAACTGGTGTTCTTAAAACAGTAAATTCATCACTTTATGTCATAAGAAAACACAAGTTTCGGTGCTTCTATAGGTCACTAACAGCAGAATGCATTACAATATCGACATTGGTATGGAACGGAGAGGCAGACTACATCAGTGTAACCAATCTCATGGAGATGACTTTCTGACAAACCCAGACTAATTCAGTTGCTTTTATGTTTTATTACCTTTAATACAAGGAGCCACACACAATGCCACAGAGTACAAATGTAATGGCATCTATGTTTGACGCACAAAACTAGTCATATTGATAAAAACAGGCCTTAGTTGGAAGCCAGTGAATTAGGTCAGAATAAGTGGTGCACCAATGACCATGAAAAATATACCTTATTACACCTGCAGAGATTGACATCTCAAGAAACTTCTCCTTATTTAAAATTTTTCAATACAAATGAGAAAGTATTCATTGTAGTTCTGCATTTTTCTGCAACCTGCCATGTTTACAACAATGAGGAACACATGAATAGAAATGGGAGGCTAAACAACACATGCGAAAATGTATTTCAAATTCCCAAACACTGGAGCAGATAGTCAAGACAATCAAAAACAAGAATTGACAGAGATGCAAAACGCAAATGTTAATCTTTCCCATAGTAGTGTCAGTGATGCAGCAGAGAACTCTCACTGCCATTGCTAAGTAACAATAATTTCACTTCTTAAACATTTTGAAACTTCATGCTGCAAGGAACAGAAACAACTTTCATTCTCTCAAATGTCTGGCTTGCACAAGGCACAACAATTTATCAAGGGTCTGATAAGGCAGACTCAGTAAGTTGTATATCTGTGGCTTATTTTACAATGCTGAAGTGATTAAGGATGCGCAGCATCACATAATTCTCAGGGCTGAGATTTGAACCCAGAACATCCTGCACATGAGGATTGAGTGTTAAGCACTTGGTTGTGACACTTGATGATTTGGTGAGCTGTATGCTGTTTTGTTAGAATAGTATCTACACGAGATGTGGCCAAACATCGACAGTAAATACGCGGCGTCGTAACAACAGGAAAGGCTTGACTGGCACCAAAGGATGAGTCACACAAAGAACCGAGTAATGGAGCACAAGTGCGGGTTACACTGCCGCATCACAACCAGATCAGGAAGACACAGGAATGAGTCCTGAGTACGAATTCTGAAATAATATAGAGATCACTAAACACTGCAATACACAAAATAACCGTCAACAGAGCGCAATCCCACAACAATAAAATATGCACATCCATCTAAAGACACACTTATTCTACCGATCTTAATGAGACCAAGAAACCTGATAGTTCTAAATAAAAAATTCTTTCAAAATTTTTGATGCCCTTTATTACTTGACCTAACCTAACACTTGATTCTCTGAACAGGTTACAAACTAACCTTATTTGATCAACCTCTTAAATATAGGATTTAACTGAGACTGAGTTACAAGGATGGCTTGATCAAGTGCAAATCATCTAGTGTTGAAAAGCAGCACATTCAAAAATAAATGTTATTTACCACATTTTTGCAAGCTACAAGCTTCAAGTAAAGACTAGTATGTCAAGAATTAATCCATTTACCCATGTGCAAAGTTTTCAAACTCCTGGCCTTTATACAAGCAGATTTTATACATTTTGGGATTCAAGGTTTTCATGGCGTTGAGTCTGAAGATGGCCATCCTCTGACATTTTGATTTCTTTTATTGAAGATATCCTACCGTGCGTCTTCAAAGAGTGAAGAAGGAACACACTATATGGACTGACTGCATCAACACTATTCACCATTTTGAAGAACGATAACAAAATACGATAAACTGTTCTGTGATGGAAGACTAGATATTCATATCATGGTGTTCAAAACCAGCCTGTAACGTAGGTTACACACATACGTTCGTTCAACTTTAACTTCATGGATCATATCTGCCAGACAAGTTTCATTCGAACGGATGTGTTCATTCTCACGTACCTATGCACACGGAGCAAATTATGGGAAAAAATGGAAAGGACTTGCAGGTGTGCAGTGAATAGTAGAGAGGACCTTTGATCGTAAAGAACTGATCCTAATGTGACTGACTGCAAGTACAAGAGGTTATGTTAATATGTGATATCTCGGTTCCAATAACAGCAAAGACATGAAGACTGTTAAATTATCCTACATTATATTCACATGTCCGTAACAATTTCAACAAAAAATAAACACTGCACTAACCACTACAGGTTCTTCATATATTAGGGCCATATTGTGATACATATAACCAGAAGCTGGGATTGACAACTGAAGATGATATATTTCAACTGCAACCTAACCTGGCTATTATGAGCACCCGTGAGAACAGGTACTTTTCTGAACTATACAAATTTCTGATAAATCAAGATTACAAGTAATCTAATTTTCTTTTTGTGTATTAGCCTTAAAATAATCTTACCAAACAATAAATCTACAATTATGAACTTTTTCTAACCAACCCAAAAATTACCCAAATGATTCATGAACTATACTGAACTGACATGAGAGACAACAGTTGCATGTCTGCTTGCAACGTAGCATGTTCTCGTTCCCTACCACGGGGCATCGTGGCTCCCGCACTTCTAGGCTAACAAATGTATTTGAAAGAAGCAGAGATGAAACAGACACGCCACAATGGAAAGGATGCAGCTCGTGGCTGGCACGTCGCTTCAGTAAGTCACAATATATAGCATTAAATAAGAAGACAATTAGAGAATAATAAATAAGAAAGGATTTTGGAGCAAGAGGTCATGGCCTAACTTAAGGTACAATCCTAGCATTTGTCTGAAGGGACTGTGAATAGAAATTGTTGTGGCTTCTTTTAAAGCACTATCCCAGGATTTTCTTGAAGAAAATTAGGAAAACCAAGAAAGACTTCAGTAAAAATAGCTGGCCTCTGGATTGAGACTAGAACCTGAGACTTTCAGAATATGAGGCATTACACTGCGACATTTGGTCACATTCAAGCACGACTGAGACACCGAATGCCACGTATGAGACAGTAGGAGGCACTTTGGAATATTCACTGTACATTACATATGATTAAAATCCTGAGGATGGCGATGGCATGTCAGCTGCATGACACTTTGTACAAAATATGGCACAGCTAGTGACACCATCTGTGGCTGTATCAAACGTTATCACAGCTGACAGCACTTTAGTCCTACTCGAGCCCTGCACCAGTACTGCTCGGTCGGTTGACATGTCAGCTGGAACTAATGTTGATCTGTAACAAAGAAACGTGTTAGCAAACTTATGCAGAACAAATTAAGGTGCAGCCAGCATGTGTCACGTACACTCACCTCACTCAGGATGGCCCAGTTGTCACTGTCACTGTGAACATTTAGCCGTAGCACGCTGATAGGTCCGAGCTGCGGATCCACCGTTCCCTCGGCCACTCCCATCGCATCAAACTTACCTGAGAGAGACAAAACTTCATTCCCACACCAAGAAGAGAATAGACTTACATTTTTGGGTACACCTATAAAATTTCAAGAGTTAATGGCCTACATTCCAATCTTGTAGTGAACTTTTAAAACAGACAGAGGTGATGCTGGAGAAAAAGAAAACCCGTCTGACCTACACACACTGCTCGAAAGACGAACGACCCAAGTCTATGGCCAACTTCCTCCTGTTCACACGTGGCATGAAGAAGAAATAGAATGAGAATGCACATAGATCAAGCACCAGTGTGAACAACAGCACAGCATGCCAAAGTACAATGCACACTGTAGGCTAACAACATCTCAAGTCTCATGACTTGTGAATCTGGGACACATCAATGAGACATTAAGAGCTACATGAGAAATTACCAACTCTTCACTGATCCGATCTTGTATGACTGCATCACAACTGAATGGCAGTATATAATTACTTACAATATGTGGTTAACATGTACAAACCTATTATGACAAAACCATCGCTGGTGGCGTTATAGTCAAATTTGCCGAAGATAGCGTGACTAGATTCTGGTAAAACTTCTACTGAGGTATTGTAGAAACGGTCTGATGGATGCTCAGCATTGCCACTGCGGAACAGGTAGCTAGAATGGAAGCCACTGCATTACACATATTTTAGTAGCAAAAGTGAATAATGCAGGTCACAGATCCCATTAATGAGATTGATGTACTGAACTTCTTAATTACTAAGAGTGCAGGTTCCTTAGCTGTGCCACTAACACTATGAGTTTGCATACCATCAGCACACGTTCTATCTTAAGCTGCACGCAGCAGAACAGAAGGGCCAAAATGACAAGATCAAATGATGACAGATAAAGTGGAAGACGAAATCAAAGGAAACATATCAGCTATCAAACGTTAAGGTCAACATACTGTTTTATTAACAATGGTGTGGTGAACCTAAAGACCAAGTGGTCCCCTGGTTGGGGCAGGAGGCCCCAAAAGAATGTCTCTCCCAGATACGCCCTCGTGAGACTATACTGTTTGTAGTGTTTGATGGCCGACTCCACTGTAGCAGCTGGATTCTTGTGTGGGAAGTACAGAGCCACCTTTCCAAACTGTTTATCCTGTTAAACACAAAGAATGCTGAAACTACTGAACAAATCCACACTTTTGTTGCATTAAACATGCCACATACTTTCACTGCTCACAAACCTTTAGTTTCTGAACCTTCCCTTTCAGTGACGAGTGAGTGCCAATGTGTTGGAACAGCGACGGCTTGTAATGAATCCAGAGCTCAGACTTGGCTTTCTTGCAGTGTTTCTGAAACAAAGAGAAAGAAAGAGTGAATGTGGGGGTCTGTGAAAACTGCCAATGCGTCACCCTCTGAACTGTACTCACACTGTCCTTGTCTAGGCTGCATATCTTGGTGTGTATCAGATGGTCCAAAAGCCAGTCCACTGGCTTGTCATTGTAAAACATGAGAAAGAACTGTACAAGCCACGGCAACTCCACACACTTGAACATCTTGCCTGCAACAGCACATGAATCACCATCCTCTAAATGAAACTGTTCCCTTCAGAACAGAAGTAAAAATGGTAGGTAAACAAGACAACACGTTTTCACAGGTATATTGCAGATACCAAAAAGAAGTGCAAATACTTGACTAAGAAAATATCAAAGCAACTGACAACATCTACAGAGGATGGAAAATTCGCATATTCCAGGAATATTCTACGAATATCAACCCAAAGGAAGGAGATGCCAAGGACATCAGTGGATGTGGTTTTAGCACTTTTATGATTACATTTTAAAAACTTTGAAACAGAATCTTAAGAACTACATTTGTTTATCTGCTTTCAGTTGCCTCACCAATAAAGCCAAGCTGGCAGAACTCCAGGACGAACCAAGGGGACTTCTCCGAGATCTTCTGGAGAGCATAATTTTTCATTGTAGAGATGAAGTTCTTCTTGGCCAGAATATCATCTTCAAGCTGAACATAGAATGTGGCTTTTGGCTGTGAGTACATCATGAGAAAGGCAAAGTCAAGATTCTGCTTTGTTCGCCACCGTACACGCTCGGGAGGGTCCCCAAGCGTCTCCCGCAGGTTTTCCATGTCAGGGTAGAAGGAGGCTGGGGGTGAGATCACCTCTATCAGTCCAGACTCCACTCGCTCAGAAAACCTGAACAATAACATCATACGGTCAAACCTGTTCCGAAGAGCACACTTGGTCAGTAGACAGGAGCTCCATCGGAATACTCACTGCGCCTCTATTTGCCTTGCAACTTGCAGCACATATTCCTGGTCAACCTGAAAATGCGAGACATTCAGACAATTAGCAAAGTTCTCAAAAGCATCTTGTCACATAAAAATGATGTACATGACATAAAATCCTTAATACCTCAGTAAGACCTGCATATTTTGTTTGAAACATTTTTTTCTAATTTAGTGCGCATTTAAAAAAATAAATGTGAAAGTTTATTATGTGACAAAGTTGTACCAGTCCTAATTAATGGCAATTAATTCATGTATTGGAATGAACCGTAATTGATCAATGCAAATAAAATTAAAAGTATGTGAATTTACTTGCATCAGAGTCTATTATAATAAAATAAATCTAAATCTAACCAAGGAATAGAAACTGAAAAATCTGACAGAAAGATGTTAAAAGCCTTTTGGATAGATAACTGGACAATAAGCACGAAACACAGAGATACAACATGGGTCCATACATTAAACATAACTGTACAGAAAGCACACCACCTCTGCTATGAAGACCACTATGAGAGAATCTGCTGCCTCCTGTTCAGTCATGCTGTCAATGAGATTTTGCAGTGTGGCCAGAAGATAGCTCTGCACCTCACGTTTCACAGTAGGGATACCAAGCACCACTGATACTGCAACAAAGAAACAGTCTCAACAGAATTACCAACATCATATCATTTCTGCACTCTGCATGAAGGCACAAAATCCACATACTTCCAGTGCGCCCCCTTGACAGGCAGTAGGCTGGGCGGAGACTGGATGGATTCTCCAGTAGATGGGGCAAAAAATGGTAGATTGAGGGGAGGTGTAGCAGTTGGGAGGACTCCCCCCTCTGCAGTCCTGTAAGATTCTGAAGCAGCACTTTCACCTCCGGGCTGAGCGGCAGATAAAGGGAGCTGTTGTTACCATCTGCGGTCAGAAGCATCCCCAGGTGCTGGGATAGAATATGCACTTCCTCTTGGCGAGCCTGATGCATCGAGTCCAGGTGCTGCAGCTTGGCCTGCAGTTCTGCCAACCTTTGCACCAATGTCTGCTCCTGGCTTAGGTCTGGTGCAGAGATCAGTACCAGCACACTACAAGGCACAAACACGACGATCACGAGGCACAGCAGCCCGCTGCGACGGCGAAGCGGGGCAAAGGGGAGGCTCCGCAGCATGGCCTCTCCTCCCGCTCCTACAAGAGAGAAAGTTAAGCTTCAAGAGACCTCACAGCACAGTGATCATCACTACACCCGTGTCATATATGAACGGCCCGAGTTCAATCTCGCCTGTCCTTAAGCAACTTCTTTATCAGACAACGCAGCTCAAAATATTCAACGAACAAAATCACCAGAAATCAACAAAGTTTTCTCAGGCGATGAGCTGCGTAAGCACGAGCATGACATCTGCCTAGGAAATCAGTCTCCAAGATGTTCAATGTGAGCTAACCACCTGTGAAAACTTCACTATATTCAGATCAAATGAAAGCTTCGCATTTTATATCAAGAACTTGCACAGTTTCTCTCTTAGAACACGAGGCCCTTGTCAGCCTCATGCATCATCATCCTTTTATGAAAAACACTCACATTGCAAATTTACAGCATTTTATTAAGACCACAGGATTGTTTAACCCAATCACCTGATTCAAATGACCATCCACATTCACTGTCGACTGACGCCCCCACACATTGGACGTAATAACACAGTTTCAAAATATCCATGAATCAGCATTAGAATCAGGGACTTTGAAGTAATGTGTCTATTGTTCATACATGTGTAGTTGGGAGCCATCTATGAATGACTGAATGAAATGCAAACTCCCACATGGACAATTACATACAGTGACCAGAGTTTGTCAGAATATTTTAAGACCATGTAAATATCTGTGACCTGAACTCATCAGAAGAATTGAATGGTTAAGGGTTAACCAAATGGGGAAGCACAATATTAGTAGCTTATGGTTGACTGTTTTACTTACTTCTGTTCTCTCTGACAACATAAGTGAATTACTCTAATTACAAAATTTTGCTTGTTACCAATAACTCTGTGCCACATATCTCTGATAGTCAACAAATTACCTGACTTTAATTAAACTTGAAAATTCATCACTGGTTTCATAACAGCCCAGTAATAGTCCATAACTGGTGCCAGATTAATCCTGTCAACACACTCACACCCAATTTCTCTAAAATTCATGTTACTATTATTCTCTCACATCTCCTCCAGCACAGGCCAAGAAATTTTTTTTCCGAGATTTGAAAACCTAACCTATAGAACAAGGGTATAGATCCACTGGGTCAATATCTACCAAACTACGTGGTGCGAGAACCTGAAATCTCACCAGAACAGGGGGAGGCCAAAACTGGATGTGACATGAAGAGGAAATGTCTCGGACAAGCAAGAATAAGTTTGAAGACAATTAGGGTCACTCGGTATTACAACCCATACTTATACCCTAACCTATACATCCCACACGGTAGCAGATGAGAAAAATCTGATAAACTGACCAAACATAGTAACACTGCATGTCATCATTAAATGTTAATGTTAACATAACATGGCCATTTCAGAAATCGCGGATTCTTATTTACCTGTTAAAATGCACATTTAGACACAAAAACTGTAGCCCTGGCAACAATGAACAGTGGCCTCTAAAACTGGAAGCAATCAGTAACAAGTATTACACACAACCACTTCCTTCCACAAAGCACATCCATTTTACATATTTTCTCATAAGGGAACTTGAAAAGTTCTGCTTAGAACACTGTCTGAATTTAACAATGCCAGCATTCGCCATATAGTTTATGGTTGGCACTCTTACTTCCACTTTCCAGCCTTCAAATAACCACCTTCGTTACGCAACAGCCCAGATAAGTAATCTAGAGATAGGGAGCAGACAAGATTCCTTAGTCCCACTGAACGCTTCACAATGAGGTCTCACCTTCAAACACCCAGGCAAGGTCTCAGAACGAACCATCGGCGTCACTAAAAATTAAGTGGTAAGCAAAGTATCGTTAGCGCACAGTATGTTTCATTATTATAACAATGTCCATAACTTCAAATAGCCAATGCCTTACACCTAGCAAGCAATCTATTATATCACGCAACTATTGGCAGCATTGATAAGTACCCCCTAGTCACACATAATATCACTAGATAGCGTTGAAGTTGAACATGAACGAATTCATTGTTATGAAATCTGACACGAAATAGGGGTTTGGCTTCGTAATATGGCGTCATTGAAATATACGCACGCAGTTGTGTGCCGCATACCGCTGTCCTTTCGGACGAGAGGAGAAATAGAATTAGAAGAAGCGAAACGTCAACATGAAGCATACGTTCGCCTTCTGCGAGAATTGGGTTTGGATGTGTTAGAGTTGCCCCCAGACGAATCCTTGCCTGAGTGTGTGTTTGTCGAAGATACCGCAGTGGTTTGCAATGGGATTGCGTTAATTACTAGACCAGGGGCGCTGACGCGCACCAAAGAGGTAAACATTTTTTCTTCAGTAATGCGCCTAGTGATGATCTGGTTAATTTTTTTCCTTCAGTAATACGCCTAGTGATCTGGTTATTGACTGTTCGTTCCTGGGCATTGCTTGTTTCACGTCTCGAATTTAGGTCACTGGGCACAAACCAGGTAGGTATTGCACAGCTTTATGTACAGTTCGGTACGAAAAAAAGTTGATCCGGTTTTTTTTTAAATTTCGAAATCGGTCAAGATAATGTATATTTTCAGACTTGAATCTCGCGTTAGTCTGTTGCTTCGAACCATGGAACATGACATCATTCCCAAGACTGGCCCTGATGTCACGTTTGTTGTTCTGCAAGCCACGCGTTTCTGGCGTATCAATCGTTTCTTTTTGAACTGATTTGCATTTTGTGCGCATACCAAGTAAGTTAGCTCAGACGTTAACGCATCGGCCTTATATGCGGGAGGTACCCGGTTCAAGTATAGGTCGACACACCGATTATCTTGTCTTGAGGTTTTTTCCGTGGTTGTCATCACTCCCTCCTGGCGAATTACGGGATAGCGCCGTGAAATAGGCCACGACGAGTTCCTCCCCCATTCCTTTCAGTTTCACCAGATATGTTCATTCTCTGAAATTATTTGACACTAAATTCGCATGGCAGTTGAATTGGAATTTAATTTCATATATCCTTTGTTTAACATCAGCCAAGGACAGTGGCAGCAGACTAAAAGCCAAGTTCACAATGAGCCAATTCATGCATGGACCAATTTGTTTTCTCGGAAAGTACACTGTACAATTTTTCATGTTCCTTTCATTTTCATAGTATTTTATTTTTATATATATATATATATATATATATATATATATATATATATATATATATACACACACACACACACTTGAGAATAAATTTCATCTGTATTTATATTTGATTGTCAGCTTTTAGGAAGACTTACTGCCTCAAACAGTGCATCATCAAAGACAGAAATATGTGCACATTGATAATTGAAGTATCCTGGAGCCATGTTTACTACTACTACACAGATACATATACCCAGACAATGGAGTGGTTTAATGATGGTGAATCGAGTACTAAGCTGTACACTACAAGTGGTGGTTTCTTTTTTTTCACCAGGTGGAAACAATCAGAGCAATCCTGAAGAAAGAACTGGACCTGCCTATCGTTGAAATTGGTGATGAGTCCGCCAAGTTGGATGGTGGTGATGTCCTCTTCACAGGTACTGCATTGGCTCGTTTGATTCAGGAGGCAAAGGTTGTGACATTCTTTTGTGAATGGATTGTAGCGAGATTTTGTATGAGGAACTCTATTAAAATGAAAGCCAGTCACAATACTTAGTAAATTCCATAGTCAAATAAAAAGGTGAACTTAGTACACTTTCTGACTGGTCTGAACATTCAAAATGTGTTTATGAAGAAATTTAATTGTGGAAGAAACATACTTTCAGCACATCAGTTTTTCCATATCCCCTGCAGTTCATCCTAACATTTAGCACTATATAAATGAATCACTTAATAAAGCATCATTAAATATTCCAAGAAACAAAGAGACAAAATCTCTCAAATTTAATTATACCTAAAAAGGTAATTATATAAGAGGATCCCCACAATCTGTACTGTTTGCATGATGTTCTTAGAGTGACTAGATGCTCAGGACATGTAAAATGCATGGTCAGAACAAGATGGCTGGAAAATCATGAAGGAAGAGACCACTCGCGTGACCTTTACATAGATCGAAGTGTACTGCAAGAACCTAACCTTACAGAAATGTATTGGATTAAACTGGCTCAGGTAAAAGTGTAGTGGTTGGCTTTTGTGAACTTAGTGATGATCCTCAAGGTTTTATAAAGGCATTTCTTGACCGGCCAGACACTGTGCACCTTGGAATTGCTCGCTTACCTGATGACTGAAATTGTATTTCCAGGTCGGGAGTTTTTTGTGGGTCTGTCAGAGTGGACAAATGAGGCCGGGGCACGGGCTGTGGCGGCTGCGTTCCCAGAGTTCCCATGCACACCGGTCAAGGTGAGGCCTTGTGTAGACCCTGATGAGAGGCTCGACCTAGATGTGATGCAGGTGAGAGGGGAAATCAAAAACTGTTACATGTTGTTTCGAGAAACTTGGTCTCGCATGTTGAGTAGAGAATGCAGGCAGGCAACTGAGTAGCTACTTCCCTCTTTTTCTCCTGATGATGAAAACAGATTGTAAATGTGTTCTTTTAAGAATAACAAATGATGGATGACATTAAGAGGCATAGATCATCTCGCCTTAACCGTGGGCATACGCCGTCTGTTTCTGCGTCTCATTAATTCAGATATTTAAAAGTGGATTCCTCACATTTATCATTTTGACCTTCATATCTGTTGTCCAGAAAGTGTTACACCACCATTATGAAATTTGTGGCAAAATGTGAATTTAGACCAAATTTGCTGCTACTTTATTTTAAGTTAATCAATGAAATGGCATTTTTATGTTAATCTTTTACGTATTCAGTGAAGAACTGTGTAGGTAGATGAGCTAAGTGATTCTTCTACATATTTTTCATTAAAATATCCTGAAATTTTATGAGTGTGAAGAACTTCTGTTTGTGTACTGTTTCAGTTCCAGGCCTTTGACATGAATTAGGATATGAATAGTTGTTGAATTCCTCCTCACATTCTCACGTGTCGCATGTACAAGATGTACATCATGTGATGTTACGTGAACAAAGTGCAGTGGCTGCAAGAGGCCTGAGGTGTGAATGTGTTAACCCCTGAAAAAAAGTAAAAATCATGTCAAGTCCTACATGGTAAATATGTTATGTTGATGACTTAACTTAAATCAGGATAATAATGTAATATTTTGTATCCTGAACCGGTTTCATGAATTCTAATCCATGGAATGAAGAAGCCATAATAAAGGTGTTTGTGAGAGAAGTTTGCATGAAATTGTGTGTATTGCAGGTTGCAGAGTCAAGACATCTCAAGGCCCTGGTGTCAATGGCAGGCCCGGATGTCATCTGTGTGGGCGCAGGAAAGGCTGCACAGGAGGTGCTCAGGGTATGTGATAAGTCCTTTGCGTGAGGGTTCCCCCCCTACCCTATATATATATAAAAATTCTATGCACTTTTCCTAAAATTGTTGCTTGTGTGCAGCGCATCAAACGTGAGGCCACTTTCAGTTACCAGACTCTAACGGTGCCAGAAGACATAGCGGCTAATGTCCTGTACATAAACGGAACTCTCATCCACCGCTCTGTTGATGAGGTCCCAGAATCTTGCAAGGTGAGGTTAGGTTAGGTTAAGTTGTTTGAAAAAAATGTCAGTGTAAATACATTTTTGGATTCATGATAAAATTTAGACAAGGATTTTGAAATGAAACACTCTTGAATATTAAAATGTGAGAAGCAGTTGTTTTCCCTGCTGTTGAATGTCTGTCGCACGTTCTCCAAGTTTTAAAAAATGTGCAAATAAACATTTAGTTGAGCTTCAGAGAGATGAGCAGTGCTAGAAATAGAGAAAATTACATAACAAGGATGTTCTCTTTGTAGTGGGAGTTATTTAAATTAAAGTTATGAAGACATGAACACTTTTCTCATTTCTATTCTGCTTCATCTTTGTCTGGGCCTTAAAGCTGACCGTAACTCATCCGTCTAGTACAGAGGTCTGAAATGCAGCCCCTCCTGCACACCATCGAGGGTTGCAGAGGCAACTTTACCTTCATTTTTGTTAGTCAAGACAGTCATTCTTTGATGACAGGTGTTTGCTGAGCGCGTTGACTTCGCGCAGCGGACACTGAACATGTCAGAGCTTGCCAAGGCAGGCAGTGGACTAACATCATGCTGTCTGCTGATCCGTCGCACGCGGCACATACGCAGCCTGTAACGCGCCCGTCAACATGGTCCGCCTGCCGTCTTTTCACTTCCCATAGTAACGGTGTTGCTGGAACAAGACTTCTTTTCCCCATGCCAGTTACATGCTTGTGGCTATTTGCTTTATATTTTCCATTCTTGTTTCATATCTTTTGTGTGACCACAAATCAGTTTTGAATTTCAGATTGTGTGTGAATGAGTTGCATGAAATTTGTGACATGACACAATAACGCTCCGCATGCATGCATCTGCTTGAAATGAGAGCCTAGAATTGCACTGGATACAGATAATGATATCAGTGCAATACTAAAGAAACAGGCATGTGAACTGGGAAATAGAAAGAACCAGGATATGTATATGATAAAGGGTGGAACATGACACATTCATTCCTGTATCTACGTCTTTATATCTCAGAATATTATGTAATTCTAAGTATGGAACTCTTTCTAGAGTTTACATCCTATCAGTAAGGTATAAAATTAGTTTCTGTTAATTGGAGTGAAACTCCACAAGTTTGGTCTAATGGAGTGAGTAATAAATATTGAATGTAATGAGAAAATGGGCTTACTGGATGCATTTCACACTGGCATGACGACCTCCACCAAGTCCATGCAGTAAGTTTCCACAAAATCATGAAGCAGGTTTACGTGGTTGCTGTTGAGGGTTCATCCAGACATGTCTATGTTCAGTCTGAAATATTGTTGCCCCATGTATGTAGTAATCCTGCAGATGTGGGGAGAACTGCTTTCTCATCTCAGGATCCATTGTTTCCCTTTTGGGATTGTCACTACTGCAACAGAACAGAATGAATGTAAATTAAAGTCACGCTGAAAACTTTTATCTGTGGGTATTTGTTGTTTGATTAATATTGTTTTCAGTGTGAATAATGTTGTTCTTGTACAGGTTATTTTGTATTTAGTGTTTAATTATGATGTGTTGTATTGAAGACAAGGTCTGAAACACGACAGTCATGTTATGCCTGCTTTGGGAATTACAGATGCAGCTAATGGCTTGATTTAATATACTATGAAACTGTGCTTTACTGTATTAAATTCTCCAAGAACTTATGCAAGAATGGTATGGGCATCCAACCAGAAGTAAATAAATTTCTTCTGCCAAGTTTCACGTGCTCATCCTGTCAACAGTGGTGGCCAGTCTGAGTGGCTGGTCATCACAGAATTTCACTGCCATATGAGAAGATGGTCCAGTTTTATATTAGTGAGACAGCTGGTTTTGGGGTCTGTACCACAAGGAAGAGAAAGAATAGGGCATCCTGTTGCGTAGGAAGGAAGAATTGAGAGAGTTCTCATTCCGTCTGAACTGAAGGTGTTGTGGCAGGTACCCCAGCTGGACTGTGTATATATAATACTCCAGCAAGTCTTGAATCTCATTCCAGCAATACAGTAGCTTTGTAAATGTTTTAATTTTTGAAACTGTATATTGCTGTACATGACATTGCATTTAATTATTTGTAATAAATATAGATATTTTATTGTGTTGAAATTTGGTTGCTACTCAACATAAGAAGCTACTGCTCAGTCACCCGTTCAAGAAGTTCACTCGCGCTACAAAAGACAGCAGAAAAGCCCAGCATTGTAACCTCTGCTGAGCCAGTTCAGTCCAGTCACATTAAAGTAATTACCTAACTCCTTTGAGCAGAGTCCTTCTTAAGAAGGCAATAGTTTTCTAGCCAGTGAAGAAAATTCTTGCCCTTTACGGAACCCAGAGGTTCATCGCCATGTTCACAACAGACCATCACTCGAAATTGCCCATATCCTTCACCTGCTTCCTTAAGATCCATTTTAATTTTATCTTGCCATCTACACTAGGTCCTTTCTCCAAAGCTTTTCCAACCAAACTGTACATGTATTTCACATCTCTACCATGCCCCATTTGTTCCGTCCATATTTTGATCACCCTATTATTATGGAGCTCCTCATTCTACTGTTTTCTCTAGTCTCTTAGGTCTGTTTACAATTCAGTGTCATAGTTGGAGAGAACACATTTAAGATTAAGCATTGCCACATTAAAATTTGACTGAAAAAAGTTTTAGAGGAAGTGACATTTGATATCAACATCAGTAACCCAAGTAATGACAAATTCATATTGCATCTCCTGTCCGTATTCACATTTATAGTCGTCTCTCGGGTGTAGCTTGAGCTCTTCCATTGCTACCAGCAACAGGGATTGGCTGTGGCTGGGGAAATGTGATGGGGCTCTGTCTTATTGAAAATGCAGATTTTGCATGTCTGTTGCTCCAACACATCTAGACCAATGGTTCAGTGACTACTACTACTACTACTATGGCGTAACAGCCCAAAATCGAGCCCTAGCCTCCTCTATCTTCTTCCTCCAATCCTCTCTATCCAACGCTATCCTTCTCCAAGCTGCTGTTCCAAGGAGATTTCTGGAGTCAGTCGTCACTGCATCCAGCCATCTACCTTTAGGTCTTCCCACTGGCCTTCTCCCATATATTGTTCCTTCCAATATTTTTTTTAAGAAGCACACTGTGCTATATAGTGGGAAGAATGAAGGTAGACATGAATATGGAGTAGCATTTATCGTAGGACCAAGATTTAAGAATAACATTTTAGATTATCAAGCCATCAATGAGAGAATGTGTGTGATGAGACTTAAGATGAAATTCTACAATGTAGCAATGATTAACATATATGCTCCAACAGAAGAGACAGAGTCGAACGAGAAAGACGAATTCTACCATAAACTGGAAAGGGTGTTAGATGCTTTACCATCGAATGATGTTAAAATAATTTTAGGCGACTTTAACGCCAAGATAGGAAAGGAAGAGGAATTTAGAAGCATCATTGGGAGGAACAGCTTACATGATATCTCCAATGATAATGGGAGAAGACTGATAGACTTTGCTGAGAGTAAGAATATGGTAGTAAGTTCAACACAGTTCGCACATAAGAACATACATAAGCAGACATGGAGGTCACCAAATGGCCAAGTGTTTAATCAAATAGATCATGTATTAATAGATAAGAGAAGAGCTTCGGGAATACAAGATGTGAGGTCATTTAGAGGGGCTGACGGAGATACAGATCACTACCTCGTTAGAGCAAGATACCTGTGTAAGATAACCAGGACACC